ACACAGAGAAACCCTGTCTCGAACCCCCCCCCCCAAAAAAAAAAGGAAAGAAAATCTGAGGGTTCAAAGTTCCCAGCCTCACTAGGGTCCTCCCACGTATCCCCTTTCCAAGTTATAGGATCCCATTCTTTACCATTTAATGACCTTACTTTAACTGGGGACACCTTCCAAGGCTGGGCCTCGAATTAAAGGGTCAAAGGTTAGGATGGTTGAGAGCCACTGGTTTAGACTGTTCATGTGCATCTGGAGTCAGTCAGTTTACCACTTAGTTCATTGTCGTCCTTTATCAGATTCTGAGATGTTAGAAGTGTAATTTTGTCATAGAACAGAGCACATTCTTTTCCTTTGTCAATTTATCTAGAGATGTTAGGAGCAACCTACCAGCACCATCATTTTCCTTATTTATAAAATCTCCAAATCCATTGTCTCTCACTATTGGTGAATCAGAATAATCAAAGTTTTTGTCTTCTTAAGTTTATAAAATAGTTCATATTATGGGCTTTCAATACATTCTGCACTTCTAGGAGAGATGTCAGTGACTGGAAAGGCTTTAATAGCTGTAGGTGGGGGTTGGGGATTTAGCTCAGTGGTAGAGTGCTTGCAAGGCCCTGGGTTCAGTCCTCAGCTCCAGGGGGAAAAATAGCTGTAGGCAAATTAGAAAGCCTGTTCAGATACTTAAAACATTCATCTTTATACTTCTATTGTTCTAGAACCATTTCTGGTACCAAAAGCTGTATTAGGTAGGGTTCTCTAGAGGAACAAAACTTAGAGAATCTGTCTGTCTATCTATGAATATAGAAAGGGGATTTATTAGAATGGCGTACAGGCTGTGGTCCAGCTAGTCCACCAGTGGCTGTCTACCAACAGAAGGCCCAAGAATCCAGTAGTTCTTCAGTTTACAAGGCTGGATATCCCAACTGGTCTTGAGAATCCTGAAGAAGTAGACTAATGCCAGTGAAGGATTGGACTTGCCAGGGAGGGTGAGAGGGAGAGCAGACAGGCAAAGAGCAAAAGTTTCCTCCTTTCCGTCCTTATATATATATAGGCCATCACTGAAGGGTGGGCCAGACTAACGTGGTTCGACCCACTTGAAATGATTTAATTAAGAAAATCCCTCACTGGTGTACCCACCTGCTTGGGTTTTAGTTAATTCTAGATGTAGTCAAGTTGACAACCAAATAGCCATTAAACTGTGTCTCCAATAATTTGTTTTTTTATACTCAATCTTAGCTAAAAGCTCAAGAAACTGGTTTATTTTCTCGTGCTGTGAGCTGAGCTGGTTACTGATGTGTATGTCTGTTTTGTACCCCTCCTACTGCTTGGAGGGAACTTGCTGGTTCCAGCTCTATGCCACCCTGCTGGAGAGTTAGAGCACATTTTTGCCTCTATTCTTGGGATTCCAACTTCCAGGAATCTGATCCCCTGATGGCAGCTGCATCTATGTAGGGGGATATGATAGGAAATTGAAATTGTAGAGAAGGATGGAAGACAGTGGGCATCTCTAGTCCTGACTCCCTGAAGGTCCCCTCACCAAAGAAGTCTGCTGCTGGCAGTTTCCTGCATATCTAAGCAGTATGCTTTCCACCTGAGATTTCCGAGGAAAAGAAAAACCGCCCACCAGGGTAGCTGAGAGCATGAGGGGGATTTGTGCCGCTGAAGACCCCCTCGCTCTGCTGGAAGTCAGTTCATTGGCGTCCCTTTCTTCCTGTACACTGGAGTGTTGTCTGAAGGGCTGGCCATGCGGGCCGGTCTGAGCCCCACAGGGTCCAGAGCACAGGAGACCAGCTCAACCTTCGTCTGTCTCATCTCTTCCTCTCCGGGTGAATTGTTTGTTTGCTTTTTTTTTTTTTTTTTTTTTTTTGTTTTATGTGCATTAGTGTTTTGCCTGTATATATGTCAGTATGAGGGTGTTGGATCCTGCAGTTACAGACAGTTGTGAGTTGCCATGTGGGTGCTGAGAATTGAACCCAGGTCCTCTGGAAGAGCAGTCAGTGCTCTTAACCTCTGAGCCACCTCTCCAGCCCTGTTTTCAGTTTTTTGTTGCATTTGTTTTTCGTGTGTGTGTGTGTGTGTGTGTGTGTGTGTGTGTGTGTGTGTGTCTGTGTCTGTGTGTGTCTGTGTGTGTCTGTGTGTGTGTGTGTTGGGGAAGGGGTGTACATACACTGTGCAGGTAGAGGTGAGAGGACAGCTTGCAGATCTCTCCTGCCATGTGGGTCCCAACGAACAAACAGCAGGCTTGGGAGCAAGTGCCCTTATCCACTGAGCCATCATGCCAGCCCAGCTTTTGCTTTTTGAGCAGGTCTCATGTAGCCTCGTCTGACCTCAAATTTGTGGGAATCCTGGGCTGGGCTCATTTCCTAGGTCCTGCTTTTAGAATTATTCCTGTGAAGAATTTTCCTCAATTTCTATTTTTCTGTCACAGTGTTGGGAAAAGCATTCAGTAGAGTTGTACAAGTTTACATTACTATTCCTGATAGTGCTAGGAGTTCTATATATACTTGGGGTTAGTTCCAATCCCATCCCATTCCCAAAGGGCCTTGCCTATGCTAGGTAAGCACCCTCCCACACCCGCAGCTCCAAGCCTTCGCTCATTTTTCCCATTTGCCTCATTTACATTAACTTGCTGTATTATTCTGTGTGTCCATTTGGGATTTACTTCATCTAGGCCTGGGTGCCTGGGTGCCTGGGCCCACAACTTTAGTCTCAGCACCCTGAAAGCAGAGACTGATCTATTTAGAGACTTAAAAGCCACCTGGGACTACATAGAAATCCTGCCTCAAAAAAGAAAAAGGAAAGAAAGAGAAACTGAGAGTTAACTACATTTTTATCCCCTGGAGGCTCTGTGCTTCTGCTTGTATTTCCTAAGATAAGGGTATTCACTTATGCTCATGGTATGTCTGTTTCTAATTCAGGGACTTCCACGTTGATTCTGAACCTTGTGGTGGTGGAAACGATTTGTTATTGTTGGCTTGCTTTAAAAAAATCATTTTTTAGGGGCTAGAGAGATGGCTCAGAGGATAAGGGCACTGACTGCTCTTCCAGAAGTCCTGAGTTCAATTCCCAGCACCCACATGGTGACTCACAACCATCTGTAATGAGATCTGGTGCCCTCTTCTGGCTGGCAGTCATACGTGCTGTATACATAATAAATAAATAAATCTTTAAAAAAAAGTTTATAGAAAAAAACAAAACATTTTTTAAAAAGCGTGTGTGTGTGTGTGTGTGTGTGTGTGTGTGTGTATAGCCGGGCATAGTTGCCCATGTGTTTAATGCCAGCACTCAGGAAGCAGAGGCAGGCAGATCTCTATGAGGGCTGTTAGAGAAACCTTGTCTCGAAAAAAACAAAAAAGAAAAAAAAACCAAAAAACCAAAAAACATGAGTGCATAATGGTTTGTTTTGTTTGCTTGCTTTAAACATTTTAAAACATTTTTGTTGCTTTAAAAGCCGTGTGTGTGCATGCATCATGATGTGTGTGGAGGTCAGGATAGCATCTGTTTTCTCTGCCGTATGGCATGGGTCTTACGGATCAACTCAGGTTGTCCCCCAGCTGCAGGCATCCTTATCTGCTGAGCCATCTCTGTAGAACTCACTATGTGAACTATTCACTATCACTATCTTGCCTTGGCCTCCAAGTTCTGGGATAACAAGTGCTACCATGGCCGGCATTGAGTCAGGAACTGTCTCATCTGTAGTCCACGTTCCACTCTTCCCATGATAGTCCGGAATCAGTTATTTATCTGTAAGTCTCATCAGCACGTGTCATACTGATATTTTCCAAATGTACAGTATAGTTGGAATGTCTCTCAGTTTCTCTTCATCCTAGTTTCCTTTATATTTGATTTGTATTATGTGTTTTTAGATAGAAACTTACAGCATAGTCTGTTTCAACAAAAATATACGGTGTGCCTTGGATCTGACAGGGAAGTCTTGTGACCGGCTGGCCCCTGGCGCCCTCTACTGTGAAGGAAGAGGAGAGCAGTGAGGAGGAGGCTGCAGCAGCTGCTGCTGCTTGTGCTAAAGAGCAGGAACAGGAGCCTGTGCCCCCCGATCTGGGAGAAGTGCACACCCCAGAGCCCCTGGAATCCCTCAAGCGTGAATATCAGGAGGACTCCTCGCCAGAAACCAGCCTGCCCTACAAATGGGTGGTAGAGGCGGCAAACCTCCTCATCCCTGCTGTAGGGTCCAGCCTCTCTGAAGCCCTGGACTTGATAGAGTCGGTATGTTGGTTCCAGCACTTCTCTTGTGAACTTGCCTCTCCACCCCCCCACCCCCCAGCATTTATTGACCGATGAGGTTGCACAGCTCTGAGCAGGCTAGAGACACCAGTGAGGTCATTGCAATCCTTGCCCTACAGCATGGAATGGGGTGAAAAGGATTCTCAGAGGGCAGTGAATTGGCATCATCTGGTTAGGTCTCACTGGAGAAGGGCACTGGAAGCGTGGGGAATTCTGGTTGCCTCTGGAGCAGCACGCGGGTTTGGCTGCCCAGCCCAAGGCCATGCTGTGATTAGGTGTTGGAGGTTGTGTTCCTTATGTGGCTTTTCCTGGGGAGACAAACAAGTACCTGTTTACCCAGATGTGGTACCAAGGGCAGATCAAAGAACGATTCCACACAGCTCTAGCATGCTGAACTAATGAGTTCCTGGAGAAACTTAGAGGATTGTGGGTATCCTGTAATCCCACAAGACTGCCGCATCACTAGAAAGCTGACCCAGCATGAGTGACAGACTCGGGCAGTGTCCCTGGAGCTCCCAGCCCAGTGTGCATGCAGCTCTCCGGGCAGAGTCTTACCAGCAGTTATTTACAGCTTTAACACTGCAGGGAGGGGCCTCGTGGCTCTTGTAACTTTCCTCTAGGAGGGAATGTGTCATTTCTGAGAAAATAGCTAAACACTGACCTTGTCTGAGAGCCTGTGGGTGGGGCCTCCCCTCTGATGTGATAGCCAGTTTTAGGCTGTGTCAGCTAGGAGTTAAATCCTGACATGTGACTCAGACTCTTTTATGGTTTCCTCCTGCTGGAGTGGTGAAGATCAGGGAAAGGATCTACCAAACCTACTCTCCATCTCCGCCAGCATCCTTCCCAGGCATTCCTGCAGGATATGCTTTCTAGTTCCAAGATGCCATCAGTTTCCTGGGCCACTGATCTCTGAGGTCAGGGTGTGGGTCTGAGGTCAGCCTAGCTGCAAGCCAGTGTCTCCTCTCAGGAATGAGCTGCCTCTGGATCTACACAGGCCACACCTTCAGGATCAAAGTGGAACCTTCTGTTTGCAGAAGGCTTTGGGTAAAGAGAGGATGTGTAGTAATTCTCTGTGTTCTTTGGAGCTTAGTGTGGGTTCCTTGATGTAAAAGCAGGGAAGGGAGCCAGTGGGATGGCTCAGCAGATAGAGGCACTTGCCACCAAGTCTGACCATCTGAGTTCAGTCCTCAGCACCCACATAGCAGAAGGAGCGAACTAACTCCTTCAGGTTGTCCTTGACACTCACGTATAAATAAATGCAATGAATTACTTAAAAAGCCAAGTCATGCTTCTTATAGGTTGCTATGGGGATTGTAAAGCTGTTGATGGGCAGGCATCCCGTTCAAACTTTAGTATATGTAGAACACTGAGGAAGTGAAATGTAAGTGGTAAAGCCTGATCCCAGGGATAAGGGACTGAATTTGATACTGGTGTGTTTTCCTGTAACGAATGAAGTCCTGCTGTATTCTAACCTCCCTTTCTGGCAGGACCCCGATGCTTGGTGTGACCTGAGTAAATTTGATCTTCCCGAAGAAGCATCCGCCGAGGGCAGCGTCAACAGCAGCCCGGTGCAGCCCCAGACATCATCACAGCAGCAGCAGCAACAGGCACTCTTCTCCCGACAGACCGCCACACCAGGGCCCAGCATGACTGAGTATCGGCTCGATGGTCACACTATTTCAGACCTGAGCCGGGGCAGCCGCGGGGAACTGATCCCCATTTCCCCCAGCACTGAGGTTGGGGGCTCAGGCATTGGCACACCACCCTCAGTACTCAAGCGACAAAAGAAACGGCGTGTGGCCCTGTCGCCTGTCACAGAAAACAGTGCCAGCCTGTCCTTCCTGGACTCCTGTAACAGTCTTACCCCCAAGAGCACACCCGTCAAAACCCTTCCCTTCTCTCCTTCCCAGGTGTGTGGGTCCCTCTGGCTACCTTGGCTTCCACGTATAAACACCTAGTGCCGCAGGGTCTGGCACAGGCCCACACTAAATAATCAGTATTCACTGAGTATCTGCCTGTGCTTGGTGCTAGGGACCCAGTCTAGGTGAGCAGAACCAGACCTGGTCCTGCCCTAAGGAAGCATGCGCTCTGGGTGTACACAGATGGGTGATAAAATGGAAAAGAGCCGTGATGCTGGGAGTGGGGCTGGGTAAGGACAAGTCACTTGTCCTGTTGCTGTGTCCCATCAAAACACTTGATGAAAGCAGCTGAAGAAAGGACAGCTTTATTTTGGCGACGGTTCCAAGGTGTAGTCCACCATGGCAAGGCCGTCATGCAGCCAGTCACACTGCAGCCAGTCAGGAGGCGGGATGATGTCCTGTTCGGCTCCCTTTTTCCTTGTTATTCAGTCCAAGACCCCAGGCTATGGATTGGCACTGCCCACATTAGGGTAGGTCATCCCCATCTCATTTAACCTAATCTAGAAAAATCCCTTGCCGACACGCCCAGAGGTTTGTTCCCATGGTGATTGTAAACACGATCAAGTTGATAACTAGGAATCCAGGGGGCTCCCAGGGGTAGAGGAGTTCCTTGCATTGAGAAAGCTGCAGGGCCTCGCTGGATGGCAGAGGAAAGACAGAAGGACTGAGTCATTCTTGTTGAAAGAAGTCTTTGTTGGTGTCCTACAGGTCAGGACAAGACCTCAACTTATAGAACAGGTGTGGAGAGGGGTGTCTGAGGATCTGTTCCTCTGTCCGTCAAAGGCCTCATCTTGTCATGTGTTCTATCTCTTCTTTCCTGGCAGTTTCTGAACTTCTGGAACAAACAGGATACCCTGGAGCTGGAGCCCTCACTGACATCCACCCCGGTGTGCAGCCAAAAGGTGGTGGTCACCACACCCTTGCACAGGGATAAGACGCCCCTGCACCAGAAGTATCCATCGTGAGTTCCTGCTGGCCACCTGCCCACCCTGGACAAAGGGGAGGTGCTCTGATCCTGGGGTGTGGCCATCGCACCGATTTTCCTTGTCTGAAGAGCCTGGTTCTTTACCTTCTTTTTCCTCACTTTTATTTTTTAACTTGATAGTCTTGGATTTCAGAAACAGTGTTCATATTGCCACAAAAAAAACTAATATTTCCCCTCTTTTGATGAGCATCAAGTATGGATCAGATGTGTTTGGAAGTGCACCTTGGGCTCTGTCTGACTCAGGAGCCTAGAGCAGTGAGTGCAGTTGTGTCTGGCCTCAGCCTGCTGGAGGAAGGGCTTTTACAGTGTGCCCACTTCCTCTTGTGGCACAGTGGAATTCCAGGTAGATGCTCCTCTCTCTGTTGAAGGAGCTAGTTAAGGAATTTTGCACAAGGTAATGAGATGACTTTTCAGAAGCAATTTATTAAAACCCACTGGTTAGAAGTCACTCAATCTGGTAACGATAGTGTTGTGAGTAGTTCTTACATTCAGACGAGAATCCTGGACTTCACATCTGAGCCCTTTAGCAGGGATGCTGAACCATGGTAGACCTGGCCTTTTCCTTCTGCCTAGTCGAATGTGATTAGAGGCCTGTGTTGTCGATCTTACTGCTATGTAATCTTGTATTTGTGTGTATTAGATTTTGTTCTGTGGTGCAGCTAAGTTATTTAGAAGTGAGTCTTTTGCCAGGCGCTGGTGGCGCACGCCTTGAATCCCAGCACTTGGGAGGCAGAGGCAGCCGGATCTCTGAGTTTGAGGCCAGCCTGGGCTACAGAATGAGTTCCAGGACAGGCTCCAAAGCTACACAGAGAAACCCTGTCTTGAAAAAAAAAAGAAAAAAAGAAAAAAAGAAAAAAGTGAGTCTTCTAAGGATTTATTAAGGACAGAACAGGGTGGGCATGGTGGTGCATGCCTTTAATCCCAGTACTCAGGAGGCAGAGGCAGGTAGAACTCTGTGAGTTCAAGGCCAGCCTGGTGTACATTGCAAGTTCCAGGCCTACCAAGGCTACATAGTGAGACCCCATCTCAATAAAAAAAGAAGGGATCGAACTCATCCAATGTGGCTGACGAGACTGAGTGACATTCCCAGGCCTGTATGTCACTCTCTGCAGCTCATGTGACCGCTAGGCTCCACCTGGATGTCCTCTCCCTATTTTGTGGTTAGGAGATAGATAATTAACTGGAATAGCCATAGGCTCCTTTTTTCTCGGATCACTTTCCGCAGTTGCCCAGTGTCACAAATCTCCAGCACCACTGTTCATCTGTTTCCTGTTGGTGAGGGCATATCTGGTTCTTGCTGTTCATTTTGACCAGAGGTGGAAATTTTGCCTTATTTTTAAGTGCGGATTATTATCACAAATTCTTTTGATACTCTTCTCTTCCAAAGATTCTTTGTGATGCTTTCTAAGGCACACCAGGCAAGAATTATTTAGATTAAATTCCAAATCGGTGGGGATTTGTTGCTAGAAGGGGTTTTATTTCATGCATCCTGTGTTTGGGGGTGTGTTATTGTTTGAGCAGGCTCTCATGTGTCCTACACTGGCCTCAGACATAGCGTGTAGCTGAGAGTGACCCTGACTTACTGTCTTCTGCTTCTGCCTCCCAAGTGCTGGTGTCACAGGTATGTGTCACCATGCCCAGAACGTGTTCCCTCGTGTCATAGAGGTTGTGGCTTAGTAGAAGGGAAGTGCCAAAGCTAGAAGGTGGCAGCATGCCTTTGTGTAAAGAGCAGCGTGGCCCCTGAGTTGTGTGCAGATAGGGTGAGAACATGGAGGAACTGCAGATAACGTCCTTTCCGCATTTCTGCCCCACCACGGTGATTTGAGAGGGCTTGTGGAGATGGTGGCCGCTCCGTCTTGTACCTATGCCGCCTGCTTTCTGTAGAGAAGGCACACGGGTTTGTGGCCTTTCCCGGCCTGCCTCATTCTGGGAGTCCCCAAACTGTACTTCGATGGGCAGCACTCTCTAGCGTTATCATGGTCTCCTCCCCCCTTTCCTGAGGATAGCCCTTTCCTTTATCTGAGGATAGCCCTTCCTCTAGGACCCTGACTTAGACTTGTGCGGGAAGGTAAGCAGGTCATTGGACCAGTGAAAGAGTGTGTGGGGGTTGGGGGTCACTGGTCACGACCAGGAAAGCGGGAGTCTGCGCTGTACTTCTGCTGAGCCTCCTCTGCCTGTGGCAGGTTTGTCACCCCAGATCAGAAGTACTCCATGGACAACACTCCCCACACGCCAACCCCGTTCAAGAACGCCCTGGAGAAGTACGGACCACTGAAGCCCCTGGTATGTGGCGTGGCTGCTGTGAGTCTCTGGGGTGGATTCACCTAAGACCTTTCTCTCTGGTCTCTGTAGTCTAATAAGGTACAATTTCTCCTTGTCCCTCATCTGCATTTCCTGAGTACCTTCAGTGTGTCAGGCAGGCAGACACTGGCTGGTGGCAGAGTTAGTGGTATCTTGGTGAAACAGTGTGTAGGACAGGGGATGTGAACATTAAAACGCATGCCACCTAAATAACTAAAGAGCTTACTGTAACGAAAAGGGCCGAGCCGTGCATAGTGACACACACCTGTGATACCTGTACTTGGCAGCTGGAGGAGGCAGGCAGATCAAAAGTTCAAGGTTATGCTCAGCTGCCTAAAAGTTTGAGGCTAGCCAGAGCAACGTGAGACCCTATTTAAAAGGTGGGGTGGGGAGGTGGAAGCCAGGTGTGGTGGTCCATGCCTATAATCCAGCACTCAGGATGTCGAGGCAAGGAGATGATGAGCCAGTCTGCACTCATGGGGAGCAGGGAAGGAAGGGCTCAGCAAAGGCAAAGGTTATCTTGTTGACTCTAGGGTAAGTGGGGTTTCCAGGGACTGGTACGTGTGGCAGTCACGAGTACTAGTTACTACTGCTGCCCCTCATTAGAGCAGAGATGCTGTCTGTTGAACTGGTCGCCTACCAGGCTTGTTCTTGGCAGGTGTGGTTTGTGTTCAGGGGCTTTTTGTATGGCATTTGAAGTGTCACTGAGGAGTTCACTCTCTCCTAGTCTTTGCTACCCGAGGTTGGAGAGGTCGCTTGGAGCTTCTGAGCCTGAGCCATGGAAACACACCCTAATGTCCCAGTTAGTGTAGAACAAGGACAGAAGGAGCCTGGGCGTTTAGTGTATGTGGGTTCTTGGTTTGGAGATAGCTTTTGTCTGTGATGTTCAGTGTCTTGGGTTTCTGTTGCTGTGGTAAAACACTGACCAAAGCAGCTTAAGGGAGATAGGGTTTATTTCGGCTTACACTTGGAAGTCCATCACGGAGGGGAGTCTGGGCAGGAACCTGGAGGCAGGAACTGATGCAGAGACCATGGGGGATGCTCTGTACTTGTCTTGCTCCTCATGGCCTGCTCAGTTGCTTTCTTACATACTCCAGGACTACCTTCCCAAGCGGGGCACAGCCCACAGTGGGCCCTCCCACATCAATTATTAATCAAGACAATTCCCTCACAGATTTGCCTACACCCCATTCTGTTTGGAAACATTTTCTCAGTTCAGGTTTCCTCCTCTCAGATTGTGTCACTCTAGTTTGTGTCAAGTTAATGGGAAACTAACCAACACACTATCAAGTCTATCCTTGAACTTGCCCAGACTGATTCCTCCTGCCTTGGCACCACAGTGCTGTGGTTATAGACAGGTGCTGTCTGAAATTCCTGGGTTCAAGTGATGCTTCTGCCTCGACCCATGAGTAGCTGGGACTTTGGGGAAGGCCAGGCTCAAGCATCTGGATTATAATAACTGCTGTGGCCTGAGTCAGGCAGGCTCTTGGTATGAGCCCGAGTTTTTACTCCACAAACATGAAAACCGGGCTATATGGGATGTAAGGCTTCTCCTCCAGACGTGTAGGCCTTCAGGGTCAGGGTCTTCATTTGTCCAAGGCAGGACCACTAATGGTTATGAACAATGCTTGTGAAGTCAGTGTCCTGGTCTAGGCTCCCTTTGCTTGCCTAGCTAGTACTGTCTACCTCACTCAGACCTACACGGCCTGAGTGGGCCTCGTGAGGATCACCCTTGCCTCCATCCACAGCCCCAGACCCCTCACCTGGAAGAAGACTTGAAGGAAGTGCTACGTTCGGAGGCTGGCATTGAGCTCATCATTGAGGATGATGTGAGGCCTGAGAAGCAGAAAAGAAAGCCTGGGGTGAGTGGCCTGAGGACCCTTACTCTGCCTGGACAGTTGGCATATGAAGTCAGCCCTGAGGTCAGGGAGGACCCGGGAAGTAAGTGCCTTACGTGAATGCACCTTTCAGAGGGTCCTGGCTTCTTACCTGTGGCCTCCTGTGCTATGAATGATGCTCTCACTCATCCAGCATTGTGAATAGACCCTTCTGAAGTGGGCTTGGGCTGGGGGTGGTGGTGGGCGCAGTAGTGGTCGGGTGAGACTTACAGAGCTCAGTGGATCTGGAGACAGGCATGCCCACACACCTCATGGCCATCTGAGTTCATGTGGGAGGAAGGGAGTGGAGGGGGACAGATTCCAAGTGTTCCTTTCCGATGGTAGTGAGCTAGGAAGAGGCTGGGTACCTTGGCCATGAAAGCAGTGTGTGGGGTTTCCGTCAGGTGAGGTGGGATTCACAGAGCCCCCTGGTGAGATACCAGACTCAGGGTCTGCTTCCTTCCCATTGCACTGTCCAGCTCCTCTAGCCACGGGTGGCACTTCAGATCTTGCTTTTGGGCTTTTTCCTAGACTGCTCTCCCTAGGGAGAGATGATAGTCAAAGCCAGGCAGTGAGGCTGGGAAGGACCCACAGTGTCTGGCAGGGTAAGGACTGCCTGGGTCAGAGTCCAATGTAGCCAAGGTCTCCTGGTCTTCCCATATCACAAGAGCAAGACCTGCTAGCTATGCCTTGAAGATTCCACTCTTGAAAGTCCTGATTCAGTGACCGTGGTCATTGAGGCATTGGCCATGGCAAACCTGATTGCTCATGCTAACCATCCTTTTCTTTCCCAACCCTCAGCTGCGACGAAGCCCTATCAAGAAAGTCCGAAAGTCTCTGGCTCTTGACATTGTGGATGAAGATGGGAAGCTGATGTCTACACTGCCCAAAGCTCTGTCCTTGGTAAGGGGCTGACATGACTTACCTGCCCTACAGGGCTTCAGGAACCTTCCTCTGCAGCTGTCTAGTTATGGAGAGGACCCTTTAGATGGGGTGGGTTTCTGGTTCTCTGGTTGGGCCTGGTGTTAGAAGATTGGCAGATGGCGGCAGATCTGGGCACCCAGCCTGAATTTCACTAAGAGTTCTGATGTGTCTTTCCTAGGCTTTATTTGACAGGAGTTATATTGCTAGAACACTGTGGGCCCCTAGTACCACCCTTCCCACCAAGTGTCAACCACATGTGCCCCAAGCACAGCCGAGGGGTTGAGGCACATCAGCCCTGAGCAGCTACCGTCTGGCCTACAGGCCAGCCTTGCTCTTCTGGGCATAGAAGTCACCCCTCTGAGAGCCCAGGTGCTGTGCTACTGGTCCCTTGGAGCTGATGGGATGTGGCCTGGCTTGACCTGGTGTATAAACTGATAGCATGGTAGTTCCATTGTATGGTTAATGGGAAGGTTTTTTTTTATTGTAGATGTGTGAGAGAGACGAGCCAAGAGACATTTGGAAGAGTCCAGAGCAGAGAAAGTATAGGCTGAACATAGACAGTAGACTAGACATGATGACCAGGGCTGTCTGCGAGAGAGGGGAGGGTAGAAGGGGATAGAGAATAGAGAAAACAGAATGAGAGGGTTAGAAGGAGAATGTGTAGCTGCCAGGAGGGAACTGGGATTCGGGGTAGGGGAGGAGATGAGAAGGGCTAAGATGCCAGCTAGCATGGGCTGTGAATGAGTAACAGGTACTTGTGATGCTGAGGGAGCCTGGAGCCCGGCATAATCAAGCTTGGATAGACTGATAAGCACCACAGGTCCCTTTGCCAGCAGTAAGGGAAGTGGCTCCTTTTGGTAGAGGGGAACCAGCTCCACAAGTTCCTGAGCAATACTGGCTTTTTTATCTAACTGCCAGAGATCCTCTTATAGTCTATCTAGGTTGAGCCCATTTCTGGGTGTTTGGACTGCCTTTTGGAGTTTGGGGAATTGGAGTTACCTTTGGACCTGGCACCAGTAGAGGCAGTGAGGAGGGCCGGGAGCATGATGAAGGGTGTGATTGCTAAACAGATCTTACAGGTAGTGCTGTTGTCCTTCTAGAAAAGCCGTTTCCAGGGAGCTCTGCCAGGTAGGGGGCTTGCTCCCTTCAGTCAGACCTTCGGTCGCCTCTCTTTGAGGCACATATTTGTCTTGTTTTAAGCAGTGCTGGGGGTTGAGGTCAGGGCC